AAGAATTTCAGAGGTGCAGGTGAGGACTTGAAAGTATCCCACACTCCCTGTGAGGAATGCAGAACACCTTTGAAGTACAATCTTATGCTGATTTGGGTACAGATTACTTCAGATGCAGAGATCTCTGTAGGGAATATGCCCCTTGAAGCTGCTTTACTAATTGCTCTGCAGGACTGAAAATTCCACTTTCCAGTCCCACTCCCTCTTACCCTTTCTGATGCAGATATGTTGAAGCTTCAGTCCTAGTCCTGTGTTAAATCATATACTTCCTGGCACCCAGTGTATTGGACTGGGGATTATTACACCATTCAGTAGGAGCCAGTAGAGCAGAAATTTATTTGACAGCCAAACACATTATTTATTTGTTGAACATAACATTCAACAATTCCACTCAGTGAGTATTTCTGAAAAATTGATCTTCTAACTTCCTGAAGTATACTTCTAATGAGTACTTTCTGGGCTGAATGTAAAATATTCTCAAGAAAAGCAGGAAAAAAGATGGCTGAATGTCTTGGACAGCAAGCTGAAGCTCACCTAAGACCTGGTGTAGAAATCTCAATGCCTATAAATCAGAATATATGTATCCTTGCATGTGCTTAAGTCTGTAGTAGCCATCATAGTCTCAGGCTAATTATTATCTTGATCTGAGGAGCAAATTTCCCCACCTGGCTTTTGGGCATCTAGAAAATAAACGTGAAGAGCTTGAATGTAAGGCCCATTGCTAATGGTAGAAAAGGGGAAAAAACCCCACAAGCAAGAAATTACAACCACCCCCCAAGACCACCAAAAAACCCTCCAAACAAAACCAACACAAATGCAAATCAACACAAAATCAAACAAAATGAAAGTAAAATCTAAGGGATCTTAGCATAAATCTGTACGTAAATTTCAGGAGTATGAAAGAAATTTAGTATAGCAAATAATAATTGGGTTTAAATGTGAGTTTGAAAATAACTAGAAAATTGTCTTCTACACTATGTGGTGAAAACTCATTATCAGAGTTCTAAAATGCAGTCTGGACAGAGATTTAATTAGAGTGGGCATTTTGTCTGGCAAAGTCAATGGCAAAGGTTAATAAGACATGAGACGGGTTTTTTCCTCCTTGGAATAGGTGCTTTGCAAGATGAGCTGTTTCCACATTGATGTTGTTAGATCACCATCTAGAGGTCATTTAAAACACATGCTTGTCATTCGAACTGGATTTAAAACAAAATTTTATTTCTATTTACTAAGGCTGTTTGAGCCAAACAGCACAAATTATTAGTAATTGCTTAAGCACTGAAGTGGGAAATTCACTACATTTTCCACTCCACTTCTACTAGTTTTATAGGATACTTCTTGTTCAGTTTAAGTTAGTTGTCAGATACAGAAATATTCAGGATTAGGTGTGAATTTTTCACATTAGGTAGTGTCCTATTGTTATAATCCTATCTCCTTCATTCTCTTTTTTACCTTTCAGCAGAGACATACTTTTTTTTCAATTATTCCCAAAAGTTTTCACCCTCTTTCCTTGCTTTGGGGTCTTCTTAGCTACACAGGGTGAAAGTCCACAGTGTTTATGCCTAACAAACATGCAACACCTTTGTATGTCAGATGCTGTCATGATGTCACAATGTGCCCCAAACAAGACTGTGGTGGTAGCTACGTCCAGACTCCATTACCTGAAAAGTGTCTTGTGCCAGACAGCAAAATAAGATGGGGGTTAATGCCAAGCTGATAATTTTCCTGGGGTTTGCCATCTATCTGATGAGTTTGTTCCCGAGCACTTACTGCTCAGTACCAGTGAAAAGTCAGAGCATGATTCGCACTGCCGAGAATGAACAGGAAGAGGAAAGCAGTCCAACAGCAGGTGAGAGGATGGGCTGAAGAGAGAAGATGAGAAATAAGGGGCTTGGAGAGCAGCTGAGGGCAGGAAATGAGATTAGGTGTGGACACCAAAGAAAAAAAATTCTTTTTGTAAAAAGAAAATCAGAGGAGGAACAACAAGATATATGTCAAGGGGAAGTGGCGGTCAGATGATCCCTAAGGAATAGGGAGCCTTCAAAGGAGTGGGATAGCCAGGCCATCCCACAGACCTAAACAGGACAGGCCTGGGGATGCCAGTCAGGGTCAGATAAGAGGTCACCAGGGAGGTCCATAATGTTGAGACAAGTTCTAGTTCAAGGAGGAATACCAGTCAGTGTGAGGACCAAACCCAGTGATGATGACCAGGGTCAGACACGGTCCAGTGAGAGCCCAATCCTACTCTCACACGGGGCAGAGGACATGAGGGACACACAAATTCAGGCCAGTCATAGCTGTTAAAGCCTCCTAGATCACCTGCAGCCCTGACTGCAGCCTCCTGTCTCAGCTGTCCCCTCACACCCTACTGAGATCTGAAAGGAAAGGTCCAGGACACTCCTGGAGACCAGGGTGAAATAATGAAAGAAAATGGCGTCAGACACAGTCCCATGACTACCAAGCAAGTCTGTAGTGACAAGGCACATTCAAAGTCAAAGCAGGAGTCAATTTGCAGGTCAGGATCCACAATAGCAGAGTCCAGGCACAGCTGTGATAGAGTTGGAGCTGGAGATAAGTATATTTACAGCAGACCTCAAATAGAGATCTGAGACCCAGACCAGAGCTTAAATGCAGCTCTCAGACTCATGGAATTCAGGTAAAGGCTCCAGCCAAGTCTTTTAAGGGCTATTACAGTTTACTGCTCATGGCCCTGAAAAGATAAAAGAAGGTATCTGGGGTAACTTTTGTAATGGAAAATACAGGAAAGGAGAAAAACATGAGATGCAAAGAGGAGTGAAGAAAAAGGGATTACTAAAAGAAAATATTTCAAAATCAGAATCACAGAAACAAAAGGACAAAAGAAGCAGAGAGAGGAAAGAGGTACAAATGAAAAGCTGCTTGGGGTGAAGGAGGAAATGAACATACAGTGAAGGCGAAGAGAATTTGAAAGTTCAGAAAGCAGGGAGAATAAAATAGGAGGGACGCAGGGGTAAAAAGCCTTCAAGTATTAAAGAAGTGAGCAAGAAGAAAGCTTATGTTGTTCCCCTTTCCCCTCATTTACAGTCTGGGAGGAAATGGAGGAGTCATTTGTGGCCTCATCAACAGGGGAAGGAATGGAGGTGATCGATATGGTGGAGCATGAGGGCTCAGAGATACTGAACAATTCAGCGGTGAAGGATCTGCTCCTGGATCTGGCTCTTCTCCTCAGGATTGTTTTTTGGGTTTTTTTATGCATGAGCTAGAGCTTGAAATAATTTCTGTGATCATGAATGATGACAATTTGAACATCTACCTGTGTTTCATGATCACCTTCTGGAAAATACAGCTTTTCTTCACCAACCATGTCCCAGGGAACTGAACTAGAACACTGGAGACAAGGGCAAGGACCCTGTGCATATACTGAAAGTGTTTTTTCTTTTCTTCTTTCTTGCTTCTTGAGAAACAAACAAACAAACAAGTAAATAAATAATAGATTCTCAGTAATTTTTCCTAAGCCAGACTTCCCTTCTTGCACTTCCCATACATTCTTTGCGTAAAAACATCATAACTAATAACAAGAATTATTCAACTCACCAATTTCACCAGTGACCCTGTCTTTTAAACAGAATATTATTAAATCCAACATATATTGAAAGAACTAGAAAAAATAAAGCATATTCCAGGGAACTGTACCTCCCCATATACTTAACAAGATAGATACAAGAAAAGTTATACTCCTCGAAATGCATATTGTCAGTACCTTTTGCTTTTTTTAAACACAATAAACACAGAAGCCAAGTAGACCCAGAACACTGAAATAATGTCGATATTATACACTTAGTGTTATGCAATGTTATTTGCTTTGAACATCTTAAAAAAAAACCTGTCTGGACATGCTGCTAGGAGAAAATAATTGAATGAGTGAAGGGAAGGAAGACTATACACTGTTTAAATGGCAATGATAAGTACAAGCCTAATTTTGTTACTTTTATGATGGTAAATAATTCAAATTATTTTAGTATTTACATTTATTACTTGTGAAGTTCGACTAAGAGCATCAGACAAGTTGTGAACAGTACAAATACAGAAAAAAGATAAAGGCTGGATGATAAAGCATTTGCAATCAAAGTAATTTTTTTTTTCAGAAGCAAACACTTTATTACTATTTTTGTTAGTTAATGAAAACAATATCTCTGAACAGTCCATTCTTGGGAAACATTTTGCTGTATTTGTCAGTACTTGAAAAGGATTAACACAGTTATTTTTAAAATGCTTACATTGATAAGGGATGTTTCCACTTGCCATCATCTATTCCACAAACAATCCCTGGCTGCCAATATAATGAGTAAAATAAAAATGTTCCCATAAACAAGAACAGTTTGAAGAGTATGCAAAAGGTGTATTTTGTATACTTATTAACATCAGTAAAGTTTAGAACATTGGTATAAATTTTCTAATTATGAGAGCCTGAAATAGATGTAATTATTACATTGCTCTTAAGAATGTACTTTAGGCACTTCTGCTACCCCAAATCATGTTGTTTCTTACTCTGTTTTTGCTCTAAAGCAAATTAAAAAAATACCTAACATTCAATTTCAAGTAGAAAGTAAAACCCTGCAACAATTCTATGCCTCTGTTTGGATGGTAAATATTTACAAATGTAGGAAGAGAACCAGGTTCAGGATGCAGAGAAGCTCTTAGAATTCTAGTTGTTCAACCTTCAGAAACTTCTAGAAATCTTTGTGACTCTCCCATACTGCATCCTCTACCATATCCTCAACCCTAGACACTTTAAAAAAGAGGATTTTGTTGGAAAAGAAATATAATCTGTTCCCAGCTCCCCAGTTACCCTCCCATTAATGGGGGAGCCTTCCTCTTTCCTCTTATGTCTGAGTTTTGCTGATGAAACAAAAACAGAGCAGAGAAGGCCTCCAGTAAACTTCATTGTTAAGTTACTTACCTTTCAGCCTACAAGCTGTAGCCACTGAGTCTTTCCTAGCACCTGTCTCCATTTATTAGCAAGAGAAGAGAAGAGGATTCTTCTCTCTCTTGTAAGTTACATGTGGTTTGCACAGTAACCCACAGGATTTCCCCAAGAGCTATTGTAAGATACGAACAAGTCTTACAGCTCCTGTTTATTGACTTGCCCTTTCTACAGGACTGTGGGGCTGCTGGAGCAGACAGGTAAATGCAGTAAACAGAGGGCCTACTAATGTAGCAGTCTTTCTGTTCACAACTCCTCACAAGCTGTTGCCTACTGGAAACTGCCCAGTCACCTTGCTGCCCTGGGACTTGTCACACATCTGGGACAGAGCACTGAGAGCCTTGGAGGAGATCCCTTCCTTGTGAGATCAGTTTAAGAATTTCCCTGCCATCAAATGCTGAGGAAAGGATAACAAGAAAAGGAAGGCAAAGGAGTGAATAAGAGCACCATGCCACCCTAGAGGCCCTGAGAAGATGGTCATATTTCCATGTGTCAGGCCTTCCTCTCCCTGGGATCACATCTCTCTTCCTCCTCTTCCACGCACGCTACCAGATGCGACATTTGTTGTCTGGGTTCATTGGGGCTCCACTGGGACACTGGAAGCTCTTGGAAAAGTCCTGGCTATTGCTGACAGGCCCAGAGACACGAAGTGGCAAGGGACTATGTGGATCTGTGTTCAGGGAAGACTGGAGCTTCTCTGGATCCTGGTGTCCACACATTGCCTGAAGGGAAGCAAAATAGAAAAGTCAGTTTGGCTGAAAGTCCTCATGTGAACAAGACTTAGGGTTCCTCATGCCTCTGCACGTGTCAGAGGGCACTAGAGAAAACAAGGAAATGTGCATACATGGCTGACAACAAGATTTTCTTCGGATTGTTTTCTCTTTCCTTAAACTTCTCTGTCCCCATTTCACTCTCTGACAAGTCATCTACACTTTTTCTATACTGCATAGTCCAGAAAACAGAAAATTTAGACCACCCTGGCTAGGCTCATGCAACCTTGGACTCTATCTAAAAAGTGGTAAAGATGTCTCAGTATCTAGATTCAGCTTCTTAAGTGAAATCAGTGAGTGCTCATCCACAAAGGAGTGCACTTACACAAAATCCCATTACTACTCTAGAGACTTGGGGAGGATTATGTGACTTTACTGGTGTTAAACTAGCAATCCAAGTATTCGTTCTCAAGATTTCCGTCATTTTTTATCAACAAAAGGATGCAGCTGCCATTTAGACTCTAAAAGACCCAATAAGCTGTTTTTTTCATGCACTGCTCTGACTTAATAAATACACAAAACTTCTCCCTTTGCATAAATAGAGTGACTTATAAGGATGTGATTTTTTGAGCACAGAAATCCCACCCCCTATCATGGGGAACTTGGCAGCACAGCTGTGCATAGCTGCGCAATTTACTGCAGCTTCCCACAGAAACAGCAAACTACGGGTGCATGTACTTCTAGTTCTTTGTCTCTAAATAACATTTGAAACACTTTTTCACTATCAGTCAATCAGAGTGACGTGACATCCAGCTATGCACCATGGCAGAGAAGTGAATGAAGGAAGGGAGGGACAGAAACATGACTTTTACAGTTAGATTTTACTGTCCATGCAAAAGATTGCTCACAACAGCAAAAAAGTACTCAGAGGCTGGCAAAGAAGCCTGCTTTCCTTGACACAGTTGTCTGCTACAACTTAATTTTGGTGGATTTCAGTGCTTTGTAAAAGATATATTTGCAGACAGGCCTTTTGTTAGCTTTGAGATCTATAACAGGTTAGGAGCTGTAAATATGATTTTTAGCTTCTAAATAAGATTCTGGATCTCACAGAATCATTGGTCATTTTCAGTTCTGAGAAGAGGAGGGAAAGTGATTGAATATTGAGAAAGACAAACTGTAAGGGTGTGGAGGAAATGAAGAGTGAAAAAGACACATGACTAGAATTCATTACATGAGCAAAACTGAGGTAGAAAAGTTGATCGTGTGAAAGTCCAATCTTAGGTAAATCCTCTTCTTTGTGCTTTTTCAGCCAATTCTTATAGGCCTGTGGAGAGATAAAATGGATAATTTTAAATCTTCCTTAGACAGTATCACAGGCTCATGTCTTCTGTCAATGAAATCTATCAATCTAATATATATTTAATAAATTAGCAAGTTTGTATCTCTCTCCTCATTCTGAGGCTCTCTGCTGCTGCCCATGCCCTTAATAAATCTAAAGTGGAAGAATACTACATAATTACTTTCCTTACCATTTCAGATGCTGCTACACAGATACCAATATACACATTGTCATAGAATGTGGCAATTATAATATGAGAGAATGAAAATTATTAAAAAACAATCACAAGTATTTGATTATGAATTAAAGACTTTCTGCTTCCCAATGTTCTTCATGAAAGAATGTAACAAGTACTATTTTAGACCTAGGTATCTCACACCACCCTCAGCAGGTAAACTGAAGTACTGCATGAAGAAACAAAAAAATTCTCTCTAAGGTACTGCTGGAAACCTTGTTATGGAGTCATTTCACCATCACACAAAATTCTGTTTCATATCTCAGCTTATTTCCTCAAGTATAACATAAACATATATACAATAGCATGTTTTTGTATGCATGATTTAAACAGGGAAGTAAAGGTGGTGAAGGGAACAAGTTGTCTTACATGGACATATTGAGACTATGAGCAAAGCTTTGTGAGGAACCTCTCTCCGAACTAACAGAGGACATGCTGGGCTCTTGCTCCACTGGCACAGGTGTGCAAGAAATCTGGAACTGGAGGGGAACGTGGGAGAAAGGAGCAGCAGGGCAATCTTGTGTGTTATGTAGTCAGACCATGAGATTGCAGAAGTAAATCACAATACCTGGTAAGCGACAGCGAGCCCTCCAGTGTCAGCTGTATTCTCCAACAGTGTGAAGGTGCCATTGACGCTAGAGCTGTAGCTTTCATACTGCTCAACCAAACAGTCTATGGAGCTTTGTAGTGCACTCCTGTTGCATGCAGGACAGCCCTCAGGCAACACTGTGGGGGAAAAAAGTCCTAGAAGTAAAGCTATTTATGGCATTCACCTGTGCTCCTCATACTAATCACTGATTATTCCTAGTAGCCAGCATGGACTGAAATTATGTGTTCCTTAAGTTCATCTAACTTAATAATATATGTATATATTGATGTAAGGACTAGGAATTCAGATCCTCTAAGGGGAAGTACCAATGGGAGCTAGAAGAGTAAATGAAGACGCCACAGCCAGTACCCACCATAACCATAGAATGAGTGAAGAATTTCATGTGCCATGAAGACCCCGATGGCTCCAAAATTCACAGCGCTGAAAAATAAAGATGAAAAGAGTGCTTTTGGAAAGAAAAATAGGGGAGAGGAGCATTCTTATACTGAGCACAACTGTGTGCTCCACAGGAGTGTTCTACTCTGGGACCACACAGAAACACTTTCTATGTATTGTCACTCAGGCGTGTAAAAGTGCAAAGACCAGTGCGAATTATCCTACGTATGCTTAAAACTGTACTATGGGCTTACTTTAAAGTATTTGTTGCTAATAAGCCATCATAACAATGAAGAGTCTATGAATGAGATTCTGCCTTTATTAGCTCATTGGTAATGACAGGTTGTTGTTGTTGTTGTTGATATATGTCCTTATGGAACCTCTGCTGTCTGAACTGCTGCCCAAACAGCAACTACAACGGTAACTACACAAAAGCAGGATGTTTGGAGAAGCAATCTCGCAACTTTTGTCCAGTGAGAAAGGATACATAAAACTGGAAAGGCAAATTAAAATCATGATGTTTTGACTGCAGTTACTCTGGTCTAGCATTGGCAATCTTGCTACAACCAAGAAGTTGTCCTAGAAACCTCCAAATGGAATTTCTATGGTTCTATGCAATGAATTTACCAATACTATCACAAGGTAGAGAACACTCAAAATGCATTTCCATTATATGAAATTGTGGGCTTATTCTTTCTTCCCATGCACTGGTTAACACTGCTAAAGCATGAAATTTTTGTACTAGATCATTATTCCATCACTGGGAATCAGTAGTAGCTCTATAGGTGATAATTTATAAATTTTACCCAGAGAAGCTGTGGATGCCCCACCCCCAGAAGTGTTCAGGGCCAGGCTGGATGGAGCTCTGAGCAACCTGGTCTAGTGGAAGGTGTCCCTGCCCATGGCAGGGGGGAGGAACTAGACAATCTTTAAAGGTTCCTTCCAACCCAAACATTTTACGATTCTATAACAATTGTACTGCTTTACTCAGTTCTTATTTTAAAAATTATCTTCACAGTCAACTGAATTGGCTTTTGCCAGTAAAGTTTAAACTCTGAAGCATCATTTGAGAAAATGCTATTGCACCAACTCACCAAAAGCTGATAAAGTTTTACTTATCAGTGCATTCAAATGAGGTGACAGTGAGAAAAATGTACTTTACCAACCTGAATACAAAAGGAATAAGAAGGCTTAGACACTTTTTCAGAGAAATGTAGTGACAGCCCATGCCACTGGAAAAAAAAAATTTCTTTTCTACAATTCTTTTGAGATGTCCTTTTCTTCATACTATAATAAATTAATTAAATACTGCAAGCACTAGAAGATCACCATCAAGAAAATGATTAGTTTTAACTGAAACATATTTCTTTAGAACTTCAGCCTCTTGCCACAATGTGAGCTTATTTTTCAGTACAATGGTACTAGAACAAGTATCTATCCACTATAGGCAAAAAGAACATAGAATTATATGTTTACACTCAACTGTTTCGAGTGCTTTTATTATCAGAAAAAATATTGCTTAAGAGATCTGCCCCATATGATGAAAGAACAGAACCAGAGGAGTATGGTCTCAAGAAGTGTTATTGGAGGGGAAGACTCAGAGTTAAAAGTCTATTTGCTTACTAGAAAGGGTTTCTTTAAAACAAAGATAGAAGAACTGTGACACATTTGAAAAAGACTTCTGACAAGAAGTTGCTCTGTGAGGCTCCTATTTTCTCTGGGTTAGATTTCAGGAATCCTTGGAATTTAGAAAATGAGAGGCAAAGGTGGAATATCTTTGCAGTTAACCTACATGTGACTTCTGCCTCTTTGCTCTGGAGTAATATCTTTGTGTCACTTAAGTTTCACCTAGATTCTGATTTTACTTCAGCAGAGTCAATGATCACTCTCTCTCTCAGAATGCATCAAGCAGTATCCATGTGGCTTTAGAAAAAGGCGGGCTTCCCCCCTTTCCTGTGTCTTTCTGGGATGCAGTGAGAGAAAGAAATTAGGGACAGACCACCTGCTAAGATTCCTCCTAGAAGCATGGTGCAGCCCAGGGACTACATTCAACTTGCACCTCTGAAGCCCTTCCATACCTGGGAAACTCCATGTGGAAAAAAGGAGTGCGGAACATTCCAGCCGGAAAGACCACCATGTGGTGGCTTATTGAATAGTATGAATGCACACTCCAGGGGTGCACATGCCAGCTAGAAGCAAAATAAAAAGAGAAATTAGAGAATGTACTAATGCCTTATCTCACACTTTGATCCTTTCCTTCACTGAGCTTGCAAAGAAAGCTCAGCTGTTCACACAGCACCAGCAAATGATGAAATTCACATTCTCTAGAGTTTATTTGTTTGAAATAAATCTTCAGTTGTTTACAGATGATCAGAACTAATAGCTTAGTTTTCATAGACATTCTCCCTCATAATTTCTCTGTCAAGTAAATTAGGATTAGTAACCTCCTGTGAAGTTGTGCATAGAATACTGTGCAGGAGGTGTAAGGCCTAAGCCCATCTGTCAACGCTGCCTTCCTTCTAAAGCATCCCATGTCCTGCCTTTGAGGTGACTCCACCAGCATTCCTGTCATCACGGTGCCTTGCTGTTGGCTTTGTTAAGAAGTCCAGGACAACCAGCTATCCCCCTTGATTAAGGGTGCATGGTCAAAAAAGTGGGTTTTTTTCATAGGTGCTCTCTTCACAGTGATGGGTACTTTGGTAGCACTGCTCAGACTCAATGAAGAACAGCCTGCCAGATTCAACGTTTCTTTAAAGCAGGATGCAGCAATGCAGACTTGCAGCAACATTCAGAACTGGTGAAACCACTTTCAGAGGTATTGAATCCAATTCTGCCCACTGGCTCCCACCTGCCCTTCCTCCTCTTCCACAGTAAAAGAGAGATATACAGTTATCACAGTTCTGAGTGACTTACTGTAACTAATCCTGCTTTGAGCAGGAGGATTGAATTAGGTGACTTCCACAGGTCCTTTCCAACCTCAGCTGGTTCACAAGTATGTGATTTTGTTATATTTTTCAGATCACTATCTGACTTACTTTTTCTGTGGGTTATGCTGAAGGAGCTTCAGGTAGGAATTTTCCCTCAGTACTTTCAAGCAAGCCACCACATTGAGGAAAAAAGTGTCTTCATTTATCTCCAGCTGAGGGAAGAGACAGGGGATGTGACTGTCATAGGGCATAAGTGAGGAATGAATTGAACAATTGACAAAAAGAAAAATTAAAAAAAAGAAAAGTCCCCTGGATCAAAAAGGGGTTAATCAGAAGAGAAACCAATGGGATACTTGTAGTTTTTTTCTCTTCCATTTCTAAAGACCTTCAATTTAAAATATGACAGGAATGTTATCTGAAGGCCAAACAGAACATACAAACAGGTAAAAAATTACTTTTATCAGGCCAACAGGTCTAAATAGGAAACAGTACAGGCAACAATACAGAAGCAACAGATAATGGTTCTGTGGTCCCATGTGTTCCCAAAAAATGAACTGTAGGAAATGTGCTCCAGAGGTCATAACCTCTTTTGTAAGCAGACAAGACAGCAGTTGATACAGGTAAACTGCCAATAATGAGGCAGGCATGTTTACATTATATAGCTCACTTTCTGGTATTCCAGGTTCACTTTGTCAGTCTGGAGTATGTGAGCTGGATAACCAATCTCCACGTGTAGTTTGGATACCTAAAATAATAACAAACAAAAAACAAACAAACAAACAAACATAAAGAAACTTTATCAATAGGAGGCTTCACATTCTGCAAGTCCTTTTAAAGGCTATTTCTAACCAACATGAGCATGATCTGTGAGTCAGCCCTTCAAAAGGACAGCTTGTTTCAAGAAGACATCTTGTCCTGCTGCTCTGCTTTCTCAACTCTGCAATCTGAGACCTAATGTTGTTCTATTCTTCTTCTTTGTATTGTCTTCTGCCATTCAGCTTTTTAGCTTTTAACCTCACTAGATGTATAAAATTTAATTATATCTCAATAAAATTATTCAGAGTATTCATGGACAGACAAAAATGGAGCCACTCTATCAGCGTATGTCCCCATGCATGCTGGCACATATAAAACCACCTTCAGTTTTTAGTATGAATAAGACATCTGTTTAAGACTGTATGCCTGTAGATTCAGGTAGGAATACATAAAGGTGTAGGTCTCTTCCATTCCTTCTCCAGAGGCTTCAGGGAAAGGAAGGCCTCAGTAATTTCTGTCTTCTGCACGCACCAAGGCTTTAGCGTTTCGGCGAGTCTGTTCATCCATCCACTCCACCTGATCCAGGCGGTCACAGAGGGCATCTTGGATCACAGAGAACATCTGCTCAGCCTGCCATGGAGAAAAGAAGGCATGGTCACAATTGCACAAAAACATTGCTCACTCTTAGCTACCATCTTCCCATGTTCTAGTAATTCAACCACGGAATAAATGGGGGAAAATTCCATTTTGTGTGTGATGAAAGAGATTTCATTTTCTACAGTGATTTAGCCTTAAGTTATCTGGCATCCACTTTTTCCTCACAGGGCTCACCATTCTCTCCCACACACCATTTCATCTGGCCTGTGACAGTAAGTAAGAGGGAGAAAAGTCCTTCTCATTTGATATTGAATAATTGCCTCCCCTCTTCAGCAAAATGAAAAATTCAGTATCCAAAGTATTTCTTGCTGGTGTCTCCCTTTCCAAAATTATGGCAATCTGATTCAATTCTTCTCAAACAGGAAATCTTTTCCACACTGCAGGCAAGTGCTCTTTTTACCATGGATCACCCAGAATATTTTCATATGATTGCTTAATATCTTTGCAATTGAAAATCTTATTGAGATATATCACATTGGTGATGAATACTGTTAATACTCTTATTCTAGGGAGTTTACAGAGATTGCATGCATTTGTAGGGCTATCATAGCTATTGGTGCTGCACATAGGACTGTTCTAACAGTTGAGACAAAGATAATAGCTGGTATTTAGCATTGATTATTTTAAAATGACATCAATGTCTTGTTCTGACATATTCCCAAAATAGGAAGGGAAGTGCATAGGCAGAGGGTTGAAAGGTTGGAAACCTACAGATGATTTTGCTGCCTTAATGTGGTGTTAAAAAAAGAAAGGTGAAGCTGAACTGTGTTTAGGGGTGAAGATGATGAATACCTACAAATTTCTTGGTCTGCTCAGGGAAAATTTCTTGCACAATCATCTTCCCTAGAACTGGCTCAAAGAAAGAGCTGGTATCAGTCAAGCACTTCCTCCAGCGCTCAGCTGGGATCTGTAGGAACAAAGAAGTAGAGACACATGAGAGTGAGGAAAAAGAACTAGGAAATAATTAAAATTATATGTAGATATGTGGACAGTAGCACTGTCTAAAATTGACAGTAGCACTGTCTAAAATTGAATAAGTAATGTAGTTTTATTTAAGCTACCACAGTAAAAATTTCTAGTAAAATATTTATTTCCTTACGATTTACTCCACTTACTTTCCCTCAAGTATTTGTATATTAGCAGAGAAAAAGCCACAGAAGAAAGGTGACCATCTATATATTTTTCCCTATTCTATGATACAGGACACTCAGCTCTCTAAGCTTTTGAGGGCCATATCTACTCACACATTTCTTTTGAGAAAAAAGAAGCTCTTTATGACCATGAGAGAGTAGTTTTTCTCCCCAGATCTAAGAACTCCATCCGTCTAAGGTATCAAGAGAAGATTCAGAAGGCATGAGCTACAGTGTTCAGTTGTTGGGGAGGCTGAAGAAACTGATAAAAGGCTAACTTACCATTCTAGACCCCATTTTTCCATAAAGGATCTTATACAGCTCCAGGCGTGCATCTTGGAATTGACTGTCAAGGGCTGGGGAGAGATTCCCAACCAGACAAACAATCATATAAATGTGAAGGACCCTGTAGACAGAAGATTGAAGGCTGGTAACCATAAACACAGAAGAGAGGCAAGTGTCAGAGGAATAACTTGAGGCAGAGAAATCCTAGGAACCTGAACAATGACAACAAAGAACTCTGAATGGAATACACCTGGGGCTATCAAAGAGGGATGATTGACATGAGTTGAATACAGAAACTCCCCAAAACACTGTGGAGACTTAAGGGGTAACTCCTTCTGGGGCACAGGATTCTTTATGGGAAGTTGGAGAAAGATACTTTTTAGGACTGGGTGAAACATATAGAGTATTATGAGAGGTCTGTGGGATTATGTAAGATTTATGATGACATGTTTATGGGAAGGACCAAAGGCAGGGAAAGGGAAGGATCATAGTGGACTGGGAGAATATATGTGGGAAAATGGAGAGGAAAGCCAATAAGAAGGAATGGTTGAGTGTAAACTGCTTGCCAGGGTGTCTGCCTGACTAAGCTCTGCCCATGGAAACCAGGATTTGTCCTCGTATCTTATTAAATGCTATTGTTAAGTAACATTCTAGTGTATGAAGATGGAACTGAATGCTGGAGAGATGACAAGTCTGAGAGTTGACTATTGGAGGGACTTTGGATGCAGCTAGCTTCTGGAGAGAGCAGCAGTCTGAGAGCTGGCTATTGGGAATGCTAGTGGTTGGGAGCAGGTACTGAAGAGACCTGATAGTATAGGTGTGCTTGTAACAGGAAGTTACAAGTGCTGGTACCAGAGTACCAGCAACTGAAGTAGGGCTGCAAGACTCAGGGGATCATATATTCATGTGATATATCCAAGTGAACACCAGGAGATCTTGGCCAGCTTCTCTACAGAAGACTAAATATCCAAGACCAGCTCTTGGAGTGAGCCAATATGTGCACACACATATTTCACTAGTACTGACCAATCCCGATCAGCTGGAGCTGCGGAATAGAATCAATTCTGTGCTCATGTTGGTATGAGTGCTTTGGGTGCCAGTCAAGACACTGTGTTCCCTCTCTGTGTGACACACATTAATATATTATTTTAGATGTGTGTTCATACATGGGGCAAGCATATACAAACCTATTGGGAATATATGCTAAGCCATAGCACTGGCCAAATCTGTGGATATAAGCCTTGCAATTGTTAGACTACTGGATTCAGCAGCCTCCAACACAGCAGCCTCTAATCTATTAAACCTATGGTATTTGAAGAAAATATTTCTTGGGGCACGAAAAACTGCAACAATAGATATTGGCTCCTACCTTCCCTTGTGCCATTTCTCGATGAGCTTTGACATGTTGCTTAAGTAATCCATGTCATGCACTGCAATTGGCTGAGAGAGGTCCATTGGCGCAGGATGGAACACAGCCTTGAGACACGCCAGCCAGTCGATAGCAGGTGCCTTCTCCTGCAAGTAAAACAAAGCTTACATGCTGAACTATGAATCTAAACTGGCTCACGAGAAATAATAGGGAAACCAGGATAGTCTTCCCAATAATGTCAAGAGATACTTTCCACAAGTTAAATTGTTTTTATGATGTGCATCTTGAAGATGAGAACTGACTTTTTTGAAAGGGAATTAGCACTGGGGAGGGGAGAGAGTTGTGGGCCTGAAAAAACTCTGTGAGTAAAAGAACATAAGTTACTGGGTTATTTAAAGCTCAACAGGCTCCAAGTGTAATTTGCAAGACAATGGCATTTAAAAAAAGCATCTCATATCTCTTTTGATCTGGATCTTCAGAATGAAGTCATGAAAGTCACATATAATTGTGTTGCTCAATCTTTAGGGCACAGATACCTGCAGCTCCCTAATGGTAGTGCGAAAGAACAGCATCCCCCTCTGCTGTCTTTTCTGCAGTGGAGTGACAAATCGCTGGAGGTTAGAGATGAAGGACAAGGTCAGGGAAAAGGAGTCAGGAGGACCATCCTCTGTCCTTCCAAGTAGGACCCCCACTTTCTTCAAATACGAAAGATACACACGGAGAACCTGCAATACAGAGGATATCTTCAATGGAAGATACGTGACCAAAAATTAGTCACTCCATCCATCCACCCATCCATCTTGACCACATAAACTTCAGTCTTTCAAAACTACTGCAGACCCACCCCATGCCTAAAACTGTCCTCTTGCTTCAACATCCTTATGTAATTGTTCATGTGGAATACCCTTTGCCAAGTACAGCTCCTCTCTCAATGAAGAGCAGTGAATTCCCTAATGATTCTTTTTATCACAGCTCACAATTACTTCAAATACTAGAATAACTTTAGAGATGTAGGCCTGCCATCTCTGGAGTCAGAGGAGAGAAATTCACTGATACAATGAGCCAGTATTTTAATGGACAGAAAATGTCAACTTCTTATTTCTATTTTCATAAACTTTCAGATGAATGCTTATGACAACTCAGGAGTTTTTTGGATGATTTTTCTGAAAGGCTCAGATTGAGAAACTGACATAACTCAGTTTTTATGAAATTCAGAAATGACAAAGTTCATTTTGTTACAATGTCCCAAGGTCAAAGAACTTGTTCCCCCAAAATATGTTCAAACACTTTAAAATAAGCTGAAAAATGCTAGCTATCCCTCCCTGCAATACACAAATTTTGTTATAAAGCCGTATTTTGGACAAAAACATTTTTTAAAAAACATTCGTTCAAGGCAAAACCTAAAAGGAAGCCCAGGTTCAGAAAAAATTGTAACTATAAAAACTATAAAAAAATTGTAATTATAACATTCTAAACTAGAAGTTTTAAACCTGGCAGCTAAAATGAGTTACATTTTACAATCTATCCTTTGGAAAAGTTGAGTTTTGTAAAGAATTCTTTCTGGAGGCATTTTCAGAGGTCACTGACCGTAACCCATGGAAACAGACCACTCTGAACCAGGAGGCAATTCAAGGAGATCCCTACATCAAATAGCTATTTTTACCTTTCTTCAGCCTCTGATATGTTACCTCAAGATAATTTTTCTCTTTGAATTCACTCTCAAGTGGAATATCAAACTCAGGATGGTCAATCTGCAAAAAGGAGTAAAGAAAAAACTTTTTCAGAAATGCAAATGTGAGGATATTTTGGCATTTTCTGTATCATGGAATTTGAAATGCTATTAACTTGCTTTTACTTTTGGAAAATGCTTGCTCAGTTCTTCAAAGAAGGACACAGGCTTAACTTCAGCAAGTCTTGGTCTGAATTTTTTACTCACAATGCTTCCTTAATAATGCTCTTTCTTTAGCATGCTCACCTGAATAATATTGGTCTTGGGGTCAAAAGGAGTAGGTCCCACATGTACTCTAAAAAATGGAAAGGTGCTGTATCTGCTCATGAGAATCTGAAGAGTTTCATTAAAATCTTTTGTTTCCCCCACACCTGTGTTATGCCATCCACCAACCTAGAAAAAGACAGAAATGCTGCAAGTGAGAAAAACTGGTTGGATCTGGACTTAAAATTTTTTTTTCCTTTTACACCTATAAGCTCAGTCATTCTGATAACTGAGAAGCAACAGAGCAAAAGCACCAGGGGAAACTCATGAGGTGTTCTACATACCCTGCTGGCTTTAGAATGACCTGACACTTTCCCTTAAGCAAAGCAATGAACTGCAAAGTGACAAGGAAAAGGAATTGTAATAAGCAACAGAGTAAGGTGTGCAGGAAAAAAATGCTGGATAAGCAGGAGACAGGAAATAGGTCTCATTTTTCTGAAGCCATCTGGAAGGACAAACAGGGATCAGTGATTACAGGTCCCACCTCCCTGACAAGCAGATTCACAGGTGGGTCTGTAGTCACTGTTCCTTTTCTGGAAGGTTCTGCACCCTCTTTGGACATTGGACACAGGGCATAAGTGCTCTTTGCTGGAAGGAAGATGCCCAGCCCTCCCTGGCACCAAGAGGAGTATCCCAGAATGGAAAGAGAAGGATTTTCTCCTTTAAACAAGCTCTCCTGGCAGCCTGGACTACTGAATGATCATCTCATTTTAGACACAAAAATTTCATCCATTTGCAAGATGCTCCCCAATCTGTGAGTCAGATCCTACTGAACCAAACTTCTGAGATGAAACATAACCCCTCTCTGTAGACTTGTTTTTTTACCATCCTTCAGTAATATATAATGTTATGAGGAGAGATTCAGGTACCTGATGCCAGAAAATCAGTTCTTAAAACAGCATTTAAAGCTAGAAGATTTATCACTTGGAAGTTGTGCTGTGAACCATGACTAGGGTCAGATTCTATGAAAGTTACATCATACAGGACTATATGATCACACCTGCCCACTTTCCTTCTCCTTGCAGAAATTCTCTTCTGGAGGGAGAGGGAACAGCACAAACATTCACCTCATTTAGGAGGTCCTTCAATGGCTGAGCTCCTTGGGATTCTATTCGTTCAGTATCCATGCAGGAACGATAAAATTGTATTGCTTTCTCCTTGGCTGAGCCTCTTATCCCAAACTGTGGACTTTCTGAAGAAAAAAGTAGATTTAAAATTTTAAAAAGCAATTTAGAAAGAAGGTGGGACAGCATTGGAGCAGAGAACAGTTTTAAGAACATTTTACAAATGCATCCATGTTTCCCACAGTGACCCAAAGCAAGGGACCTTCTAGCACCATGACTCTTCCTGAGGCCAACTATGTGAGATTTTTTGCATGGAAACAGGAGCACAACAGGAAGGTGGTGCATATCTAGGCTTCAGTCCCCCATGGAGGCAGGACACATCACCAGAGTGCACATTCAGACTAGCACAGCAACAATGGCCTACTTTGACAAGGTAACAGGAAAATGGCTTGGGTTGCTGTCAGGATTTAAAGTGTGACTTTCATCTGTTACACTTGGCAAGAGGAACTAAAATGTTTAAGATGCAGCTACTGTAACATGACATGCTCAAAAAATAAATCTGTACCTGTAATGATAGAAGAACGAAGAGAGGGGACTCAGTCCCTGTTAGGAATGATTTTGCTCTCAGTCACTACTATTGTCAGATCTGACCAAGGCAGATGCTGAAGGTAACACACCAATCATCTGACCCTACCTAAAAGCCTTTTCAGGATCAACAGGTTTTCTTCCAACAACACATCAAATACATTTAGTGATTCTTCTCTGGTTGTACTTGACTGTTTGCCTTCCCATCTGCCACAGGCATATTTGTAGAAGTTCTCACAGGGGTTAACAGTGTCATTCCTAGAATTCAGAAGTCTTTCCAACAGAGCAGGATCTGACTCAGCATCACAGGATCCTGAAGAGGAAGTAAATAAGAGAGAACTGAGAAGTAACAGCAGAGAGTTAGAATTACTCCAAACAAAAATCTTTTAGGGGACATTTACCCCAAAAGACTTATTTTTGGTACAAGTTCCTTTGCATGCCGTGTTGAATTCTTTGTAAGATATTGCTGAATAGAAAGGAAGTGTGTTCTCTCTTTCACATCCCAGGAAGATTGTCCTCTGTTTGTACTATCTAGGCAGCCATAGGTTGGATTATTCTGCCTTCTCAAAGACTTTCCTCTGAATCAGCCAAATTTGGCCACATGATAAACAAGAAAGCAACTGATGGTGTCAATATATGATGTAAGAGAAGGACATAGCCCAGAGAAAGAAATGAGATCAGATCAAAATGTGTTTTTTCAAGTATGGGAAATATTTTTCAGCATGACATTTGTCAAAAGAGGACAAGGATATTTCTAGAATATCTTGCTTTGATCTGTAATTTTCTTTTTCTAAACTGCTTCAAATTGCTGGCTATGCATTGTCATTTTAGTTCAGTATCTTATATCAACAACAGATCAGATCAATTATTTACTGAAATAATCCACCTGTAAATCAAGGTAAGTCTTCTCATACTATGGTTTCAAAGTTGACATGGGAGAAGGTAGGCAGAGTGGAAAAGGACTAGATCTAAACAGATTTTCCTTGGTCTCTGCAGTCTTTAACATATAACAAGAGCTAAAGAAAAAAGCTAGGTAAAGATTCAACAGTGCTTATTTTGGAGCAGAGAATGTCTGTATCCACCAATATAAATGCACCTTCTGTATTGAGCTTTCTATATGCAGAGATATTCACATGAACCACTCTGCAGATAGTTCTTTAGCAAATTTGGAAGGCAAATTAATGTTTCTGGTCTATACTCCCAGCTTCTCCATTAGCAAGAAACTCTGACTTTTGCTTTTACTCTATGACTGCACAGATCTGGGCTAGAAAACCAGGACTGGACTTAAGTCAGAGATAGAAAGGCAAAAGAGGAGCTCCAAGTCTCAGATTCAGTTCAGTTTCTTGACTGCAGAGAGAGCAGAACACATTGATGAGGTGCAATACAATATAATGCTGTTCACCCTCAAAACTGGGCTCAGGCACATTAAATAGCAGGCAGAGGAGGACAGACATGGAGGATCTCTTCTCACTGTGACTCAAGGAAGAGGTAGAAAAATGTACCTTTTTAACAAAAGGTGCTATGATTCCTGGAGATTCTGAAAGTCTGGTTCTTAATACTGATGTTAACCTTAAAACTCAGTGGAGGCAGGTAAGAGAGAAAGGGATCTTAAAAATGGGGTGGATGAGGAAGAATGGAAAAGGATATCTCATTTATACCTAGAGCACAAGTCATCACGAGGTAGGTGATTAGCAATGTAAAGCCAAGGAGAGTACTGACAAGAAGTGCACACAGAAGTAGGCCTTTCCCCTGAAGGCATCGTTCTTTCTTTGCACCTGTTCTCAGCTCCTGGTCACAGGTCTGAAGAGACAGAAAAAAATCAAGAAAGAAAAATTCATATTACGGTTAGCACTAATAACATACTCCATCTCCCACCTAATCTACTAGGAAATCATTCACACGACTAGTGCCGAAATACCAATAGTCATCCAAGTCATCTTCATGTCTGTATTCCCATGGGTTTTCTCTCTTCACTTCCCCATTTTTTCAAGCTATAACTGTTGCACAGTAATTATGAATTACTCATTGACAATCCAGCTTGCTATGAGGAGACTTCTCCCTCCATGGTTTATTCTGGTTTATGGAATCACCTTGCATATACTTCCTGAAGATATCAAAGCCTTTTTGAATCTATGAAGCTAATAATAGGATGGCTATGACTGGTAGTTCTTTATTCTGCTAGACTCTGGTAATCTCAGCACTAATTTCAGATCTCTCTTCAAGAAATAAAGTACTGTATCCAAAGCCCTCTAGTCCAATTCAAGTGAGAGAAAAGATTTGTTCTATTCTACAAACTGAAGTAAACTGTAAATTGCTGAGATCTTATATAGAGACAGGCTTTATGTCACTTAAATTTAGTTTTCTTCATAATCTAGATGTATCATTTTGTCTGTGGAACAGGCTAGAGACATAATGAGTACACCTTCTGTTTTAGATATCTGTTTTAGGACGAGCTGAAACATTCTCCAGAGTTATTTGTCCTTTTCTCTGTTGGCTGCAAAGGAAGCTAGATGACTATCATAAAATATACCCCTAACATCTACCTGGATATAGTTAGATAGTAGGACATTTTGTCTCCTTCTGCATACTTTGATGTACATAACACTGGAGAACAGCAGTTTATAAAAGAACAGACACTGGAATGCATACTGGTGATACATAAGGAAAGGGGAAGAACTGAAAAAAAATGAAAAGTGAAATGACTGAATAGGAGTATACAATGATAAAAGGGAGGCAGAAGGGGGGAAAAACCAGAAGATAATGGAAAACCTCAGCTGTAGCAAACAGGAGAAAATCTCACAGCTGTGAAAGCTGCTGGAAGTGCTATTGGGAAAATCCAACATGTCACTGACAGGGCCTGGCCTGTACTGTCCCTACACGCTCAAGTTTAGCTCTCTTGATTCTTTGATAAAAGAAATCTGTTTGAGAAACCTTATCAGGCCTTGGAACTCTTTGAGGAAAGGCAAAAAGCATACTTAGTGCACATGCCCACTTCTTCACTTGGCTGTCTGCAGCTCTCCCATGTGGTCTCCATCTGAGCTCTGCTGCAATGGCAGCCATGCCTTTGTCTGGACAGGCATGCCATCAATCTGGATCCTGACCATCACCTACAGACTTGATTCTGCAGGTTTGCCCTTGGACCTGTCTCCTCACAAGGGACTTGCCTGGCAATCTGCACTCTTGGTTGACCCTGGGCCCTGTCACCAGTCCTACCTTACACCCCTCATGCTCATACTGAGGGGTGCAGCCCTTGCTTTTTAAGTCATTGCTTCTTGCCTGCCTTGTCATGACTCTCAGGTTTCAGATTGTCACCTCTCTTCTGCCTTTGCTGCTCCCTTACATGCAGCAGCTAAACTGCATTTGTCACCACTCTCAGTATCTATGTTCTTTGCCACAAAACCAGGAAACATGGATCTTGACAAAAATCACAAGAAATGGAGCAAAATCTTTACAGGAATGTATGTATGTCACAGTATATGCCCCTTCTCCTAAGGGAACGTTAAGGAAATGAATGAGTCTGCTGCTAATCATCTGGACTAATATACGATTTATGACTTCTGCACAAAAACATTAATAGAAGGGAAAACAAAAAAAAGCAATAGAAAAACAGACCTCATCATTTTCTAATCTTTCAAATGTGAATTTTATTCAATCTTGAATAAAAACCTTTCAAAGGCTTTCAACTCCTGGAAATTACTAACAAGAGTTGAGTGCCTAATGCTTTTCTCCTTTAAAATCCTATTCTTCTGACTTCTTCAGGAAAGATACAGAATAATCAAATGGAGAGCAAGTACATACAAGTGACATTAGAAGTTGCTAGATACAGAACATGATCATACTGGCAAAGTACAGTGTACAAACTACAAAGGACGAAATCCAAATTCCTTTCGTAAGTCCCTGTAGCAAAACACTTGGTTTACTCCTGGAGTAAGAGAGTAACCATACGGCAACTGAGTGAAAGAAAACTAGCTCAGCTGATAAAGGAAATACAAAAACCACTCTTTGGCATGCAAGCCTTCATCTTTCACCATTTAGGAAAGATTGAATGATTTACATTCACAATTCTCTTGACTTCTCAGCTGCAATAAACTTCTTGTTTTTAACATAGAAAATCTGGCCTATTCCTATAATGAAATAGTAACAATTTTGCAATTATTTGGTTTCATGCTATCAGAAGACATCTGTTTCTCTCTTTTGAGTCATAAATGGCATGACTGTGGAGATACTAGCAAGCAACTGGAATTTCAAGACTCTCTGTTGAATTTCTTATGAATTTTTGGTTAACAGTTGGCCTATTTCAGGCCTATGCATGATGTTTATTTTGAAATCCAAAATGCATCAAATAAGAGAGTTTTAAAAATGTCTAAGAGAAACAGCACTGCCCCCCTCAAATCTCCATTGTGAAACAACTAGAGAAGTACCTGGCTGAGAGCAGCATGCCCAAAATAATAACACAGCACAAAACAAATGACAGGGTAGTGGAAATTGGTTGTGGACCTCTATGTAGAAACTGGATTATGGTCTGTGTTATGTGAACTATAAGCATAAAAACTGTTCTTGAAACACTTCACCTTCCACAATAAATGCCTTTCTAATCTTGCCTCTCTAACTGGGGTGGGATTTGAGAGAAACTGTGGACCTACATAAACAGAGAAAAAAGAGGAGGGCAGCCATATTTAGTCCTCCTTTATGTCTTTTTCATGCCAACAGCTTAAACAAATCTAGACAGACAAATACCTGCTTTTTCAGTGCTCTTAGACAGATACTGACCAGAGCAAAATCCCTGTCAGATTCTTGATCTAGAATGAATTTCACTTTTATGCCACAATGGATTAGGTGGTTCACAGGCACTGAAATACAAACCTTAGGCAGTGATTCTTGGCCAAGGCAGATGTGTGAATTTAACTAGATGGACCCAGAGGTGGCATACCAACACTTCCAGGGCACAGGATACAGGAACATTACATAGCTTACAGGAAGCAGCAGCACTTTATTGTGGTATGTTTTGAGACCTGGTTGCTTCATCCAGCAAGCACCATATAAAGATACAAGTGAATGGTTTGAACAAGCCAGTGGAAAAGGATAAAAAGACTTCAACCTCTGACAGGGTTTTCCCTTATAGGCCTCAGTTATGGGTGAGAAGAATAATCAGTATTAGCATAAAGATGAATGCAATTTCCACTACAGTTTCAGTCCTTTCATGTTTTTAAGCATGTGCAAATGCTCAAATTTAAATGTGTTCACTATGGCTAAGTGAGAACAAATGGCCATAAAATCATTAAAAGATTAATTCTAATAGCTGTAAATTATAAAAATTTATGACTTAAAATTAATGTACTATATGTATTATCTGACTCAAATGCAAGCATGACTTGGGATAGCATGACAAATACTGTTATCACTAAAGCAAGAACTGTTTGATACAACTAAATCAGCCAAAGAATTTGATTTTCCTTGAGCATCTCCTTCTTTCTGTTTGTGAGCTGTTCCTGAATTCTGAAGGGAGGTTGAAGTTACTCTCCCTAATTCTTTCTCACCTTGCATTTACACAGTGTTTAGTGCTATTACAGAAATATAAGCATCTAGCTTTCATGAAAATAAAGTAAATTTTAAAAAAGAGATCAAAGGAAGAGAGAAATGAAGTTATTTTTCATAACTGTTTACCAGATAATGTAGCAGTATTGTTTTTCAGCCAGTAGATTATTCATGAATTACTGACTTTGGCTGTTACCCAAATCTTGTTTATCACATTACTCACATGGATGGCATATTTTCAGACTAATACCCCAATATCGCAAAAACCTTCATTTTCTAAATTCATCTTTTGTCAGCAAATTATTTAAGCACATAAATTGAGCCCATTAAATGCCATTTGAGAAATATTTTAGCCTGTGTTTCAAATCGCTCAAATTAAATATGAAACAGAAAGGTTGCTGAATTGTATTCTGGAGTACTAAAATTGTGAAGCAAAACCATGGCCAACAACTGAAATTATGATTATGGTTTGATCTTCATCACACAGAAATTTTGGAACGGATATACAAAACAAACATTTCTGCAAATTCTTCAACTATAAAAATGCAGACAAGATAAATATAAGTGACTGTTTGCATTATAGCCACGGTCACACTGAACAGATCTCAATGTAAGAACACATGCACATTTCAGTGTTTGTATTATTTAGTAACACAGAACACTTCATTTATCTCTGTTGCCCTCGAATGTTTTGTACTTTTTCAGCAATCTTGAGCTAACAGTTCAGTTCAATGCAATTTGTCTGTAAATATGCAATTAAGACTTTGCTAGCTATTTATATAAGACATCAAAGCAGAAAAAGGACACCACGCTACATGGGAAGCAATTAGGCTCACCATGTCATTCTCACATTCCAAAAACTATGCCTTGCTTATCCACAACTATTTATAGGGGGGAAACTGCACATTTCTATGTAAGTACTTTCTTATAAAACCTTGCTGGAAAAAATGGAGATAGAATAAAATATGTCATTATAATTTTTATTATTATTGTTGTTGTTGTTATCATTATTACTACTACTAATAGTTTTACTATTACTATTATTACTTGTTGGTCAGTACTTCAAACAGTGCTCAGAACAGCCATTAGGGTGACTAACAGGAAGGGCAAGAACCCCTAAATCATCACACCATATCCCAAATCATTAATTCTGAGACCCGGACAAGACCTTTCTGGATACAAACTGTGAAAAACTCAACTACCTCAGTCTCCCAAGGCAATAAGCAGTGTAGCTATGAAAGGGGAAGGAAAAGAGAGGTGTGCAATGAAGCTCCCTCAGCAGATTACAAGACTGACCCATTTCCTTACCTGTGGAACAGTGCTCATGCTTGTCACCCCGGCAGGCTTTGCTCCTGTGGCTACCACAGTTGTGAACTCTGTTTACTTGGTTGCTATCAGTCTTCTGTGCCCACACACTCTGCTGAGTCCAGAGACAATCTCTTCTTCCCAGCTTGGCTGTTTGCTGTGGGGAGGAGAAGTGAGAAGAAAAGCTCAGAGACAAACACCCTTAGAGAAAATGGGAGGGAGGGAAATGGTGTTTCTGCAACTCTCCACCCACCTTCTTAACACCTCTACTTCTCATAAAAGGATTTCCCCCCCCCCTTCTGTGTCTCTGTGACCCACCTGCCTTTCTGTCTCTTGGAGCTCCACCGAAATCTTTTTGAACAGAAGTATGTGATTCTTTATCTCCCTCAGCCTCTTCTCAGCTAGTCGCTATTTCTTTTCTCTCCAGCAGCCTCACTATCCTGCCCACCCAACAAGCCTGTTTCGGTCTGATATTCTCCCTGCCACTAGCCTGTTTCAACCTGCTGTTGCCTTGGGGCCCGCAGGCTTCTGCCTATTGCTAGATAGTGTGGGCTAGGGATCCTAGTGCTCCTCCTCCCACGAGGAAAAGCCAAGGTGCTGACTTGCTTCTTGCTCTCGCTCTCTCATCTGCGCCCTAGTGTCCATTCAAGGAGTGAGCACATCTGACTTTTTCCCATTAAGAGTCATAGAAAAAGAAAATCATTAATTACTGATTCTGTTTACAGTTGTTCATTGCTTCTTGGAAGTTGGCCAGCCTATGTGTCTTTGCTTATTTAAGGAGGAGTATTGGGAAGATTTGGGAGGGAGGTTTCTCTGCTTTGAGGACAGGGAACCCAGATGACTTCTCTGAGACATTAAAAACAGTAGACGAGTGAGACATTGGGATTTGAGACCTTCCCAATTGGCAGCTGTGAGCTGAGAGGTAGGATGGACCAGCGTGGTGTCAGCTTCCAAAGTGCTTGAAACAAGCAGAACACCAGGATGGGACTGTTTGCCTCCCCAGGCTGCAAGTCTCTGAGGAGAATGTGATATCTTGGTTCACTAGTCTGAAGATAATTTGATATCTGCTCAGTTGTTCAGAGCTCCTATCAACCTGATTTTTCCCTATTTCTGTAGTGCTTGCATAATTTAACACTTTACTATCACAACAGATTTCTTATATGGCTGAAACCAGTTACTTACTCCCAGTTCTTTTTAGCATTCAGGTTACTGGTAGCTATATATTTCTGTATTTGCCCAACAGCTCTAAATACAGTAAGAAAGTCCTTGCATACTGACAAAAAGGTCTCTACTCACCTTTCTTTCTTTGCAGCGTGTCACTTCACCTTAACATCAGAATCCATTTTGCAAATACTTCTTGCATAAATTGAGATTTGACTTAATGAAAGCAACAAAACAGTCTTTTTTTAGCCACAATTGCAATCTCACAGTGAAGAGATCTTTGTAAACTATCCGGACAAATTTTTTCATGACAAAATTGAGTTTATTTATCTGTCTTAACTGTATCTGAACTCTTCCACCTTCATAATTACAGCATCTAACAGCTTCCAAGTTTTATGTAATGAAGTAAATTTTACTTCTCTTTTCTCTATGAAAAGAGTTAAAAATTTACCTGGGCAAGGAATTTATTGCCTTTTTTGATTATAAAATGGTTATGACATTTTTGAACACAATGTAATTAAAATTAGAGCAAGTAATAAAAGCTTGGCTGAAGTATTCACTTTTAAAATGATACTTGAGAAGACAAAAAAAGCCTTTCGTCAATATGCTGGGAGGATATTATTGACATTAATGTCATTTCATGTACCAGTAGCTACTAAACAGGTATTCTCATTTCCTCTTGATTAAATGAAATTTTACCACATAATTTGGCAAAACATTACATTGATATTGCCACAACACATGGATTGTCCCACACACGCTAGCTAGAAATGCTTTGAATGTGTATGTATGGATGATTTTTACCAGACTTGTAAACTAATCAGGACACATCCTTAACAGTAGATGGATCTCAGCTTCATTTCAAGAGTGCATGGGATGTTTCAGGAAAGGAAACCTGAGAAACCCTCTCTTTCTCAATGAAGAGCACAGCTCTTTGAATTACATGTTTCAATGGTGCTGTGATGCTGAGAAAGCTGCCTTGCGAGATCTAGTGTGGTGGTGATATTTCTTTTCTGAAGGCATTACATACCATAGTAACATCATATGCTGGATCTAATAGACATTATTATTGGATTCCCAACAGTGTTCTGTAAAAGTATGCTCCTGAGTAATATTTTGCTGTAGTGGACATTGGGTTTTGAGTTTGTTCAGTAATTCAGTAGCAAAGTTGAGCTGCTATGGAGAGAATTAAGTTGTTAAAATTTTTATTTATTCTAAAATTTGTGTATCTCATTGGAAAAATGTGGATTTATTTCATGTAGATGCTACGACTGTGACTATGGTCTGAGATATCCAGGTATGAGATATATTTTATCTGAAATTATATGATCCACATTTCAGAAAAATCTGTTTGGCTGTTGCAAAGTAATTCATACACTGTAATTATGTACGTTTTTAAGGAGAGTTTCTTGCATCTGTCAGGGTAAAGATAGAGCATATTTGCATGTGGTAGCAATAAGGCAGTAAAGCATGTCTTACATTTTCCACATCACCAACTGGATATGGAAATTTCTTTCAGATTGTGTGCCACAGGACAGTAGCACTTTTGGTTTGAAAGTGACAGTCTGTATATATATTTAAGGCTTGAAAAAGCTCTGCCTTGGAGAGGATTGCATGATGGTATTGTAAATACTCTGATGGCGTTTTGAATATACAATGTGTAGAGCTTTGGGCATCTTGAGAGCTGAGTGAGTGAAGTATTCACGTATACATGAAAATGGTGCTGTTGTTTTTCCTGGTAGCATGTAGGTTTCTTTGAAGACACTTTTCTCACCTACAGAAAGCAAAGACAAAAAGTTTCCCTGTAAAGTTTTTCTAATTACAGAAGCAGGAAGAGGGGCTTGGGGGAGGGAGGGAGGGAGGGAGGGCAGGGAGGGAGAAGACGTCACAAGTAATCCTTATCAACTCATTCCCTTCTTATCTTTAAGGCACATATGACAGCTCTGCTCCCTTGAGTCCACAAATTAGTAAGAGAACCTCTGGCTTTTTTCTCTGGGAGAGACACTTTCTCTTCTCTGTACAGTGCATTAGCTTCTTTCAAATCTAACTGATCAGCACATTGAAAAAAATATAATGTTCAGCATGCCTTCCAGCTGTTACACATAAAAATGCTTAACAGCAATTATCTTTTAGATACCTCTCAGAATTAAATAAACATATGATTCAAAGAAATATGGACATATTAAGTGTGTTGGCGTGCATTTGACAGATGTTGTTGCAAGTATTTATTATGGTAATTTTAAATTGTTAGTATTTCAAATGGTTTGGAATCGAAAACAGATTTCAGCAAATTATTTTTCTAATATCTGTCCTGAAGCGAAATTGAATTGGGACTTTGATCTTCTACATCATGTGAATAGTAAATTCCACTGCAACAGTTTGGTAGACTGAAGTTCTGCTGGATGGATTGATATTCCATCTTCAGCCTTCCAAAATACATAAGTATCACAGACTGCACAAAAGATTGCTCTTTTAAAAAGAGCATTAGAAAAACATGGTGAGGCAATGTTAATGACACTGGCCATCTTGAAAACTCTTGTGAAAAGGCTACCACTTACAAAGAGACTGCACTTAGGTTTAAAAAAAAACCTTGTTTAACTCAAGCTCTTCTACCTCAAATGGTCCCTGGTGATACTACTACTGAGCGGTGTGACTTGAGGATTGAAACAACATGGAAGAAAATCTTGATGTGAAAGACTGTCTGCTAAAGGTTAGTAATAATTTTGGCAACCATCAAAAGCACAAACTTGGTCTGAGGACCTCAGAACACTGTAGCACTTGTTCCTTCACTAAAGAAGTTCAGAAAACTGGAGGCAGGATAGCCTGAGAGCCATAATATTCCGTTGAAGATTGGAGGACTGATGACAGGATAAATTCACTTTAAACAACCCATAATTGGAGCTGTCAGTCAGGGATCTAGCAGAGTGTTCTAACTGCCCTGCAGGTGACAGAGAGAGATCCCTTCTGGGACAAAAGTGCTCTCAGACACTCTCAAATCACATATGCAGCAACCTTTCACATGGCAACTTCACACATGGCGACTTTTCTCCCTTTTATCCACCAAAAACTTTCTCTCTCATCTAGCATCAGTCGATCAGTACACAAACTCAAAGACTCAGAGAATGACTTGGTTAGAAGACACCTTTTAAAAATCTTCCAGTTCAACCAACCCACCATGGTCAGGCTGCTTAATCTCTGTCCAGGCCCTGAATACTTCTAGTGAGGGGACATCCCCCATTTCCCTGGGCAACCTGTCCTTCCAGCTTTCTGGGACACCTTTATTCAGGAAAAAAGGACAGAAAAGTAATTGTTACTTCTAACCACAGCCACCAGTTAATAGACTTTAGGTTCAGAGGAGGAAGGAAGAAGGGGAGAGACCAAAGTTTGTAACCACAGATTAGCTCAATGTGTGGCAATTCACTTACCTGGATAAATTTGTTGAAGACAATGGGGAAAAAAAGAGGAATAGCCTGACCTCTGTGACTCCTTCGAATTGAAGATTCACCAGTCCACACATTAGGAAGACTATACTCAAACCTGGGATCCAGGTGGATAGAATGGATACAAGATATGTGAAGTGGAAGGTAGACAGGAAGGGTATCCTTGATGACAGGATAGAAAAGGAGTTGGTTTCAGGTACTAGAAAGGAAAATCTGAAAATGAAGGGTAAGAAGGTACAGAAGATTAGGTAAGAAAGACAGGAGAAGCAGTGAAAAGAAGAATGGCAAAAACCACTGAAGTTGAAACTAAAAAACACCTTGTTTTTCCCTCTCCTACATGAATGTACATGAGTTTCCCTGATCATAACCCTATCGTACATGAATGCCTTCTATTATTTTCTGTGTTACTTTAATATCTCATTTGTTGCTCCATTGGGCACAACCTCTAAGAATAAATAGCATAATTAGAATCTCACCTCAGGCTA